CTATCTTGAATTTGTTGAGTTTGTCAGTATACCAAAGACAGGCCGTATTGAACTTTTGTGATGTTGTCTGCCCAGTTGTCCAGTGCTTCTTGAGTTTCAATTTCATCTTGACGACCAGCAAGTGATGGTCTGATGCTATATCAGCTCCTCTCTTGGTTCTCACGTCTTTTTGTTGATGCAGATATGGTCGATTTGGTTCTGTGTAATGTGATCCGGTGAAGTCCATGTGGTTTTGTGAATGCGTTTATTTGGAAATATAGTGCCTCCTATGACCAGTATATTGACAGCACATGTCTGTCGACATAAGCAGTATGCACCACACTATCACTTCCTTGCAAAATCCATTATACAATTTAGCTCTCGGACCGTAAATTTACCGCTATTGAATCAACGCTTTTGATCTGATAACACAAATGTTCCAGCCGATGTTACTCGACTGGGTCATGAAGATATGCAAGCCACTACGTCGTAGTAACAGTTGGAGTTGTTTAGGAAAATAGGTCGACAGACTTCCATTAGCGTCAATCTATTTATGTGCACAAGAAATATATTTGCTCATTCAGTAGCTAATAAATTACCTAAGCAATCATCAGCCTAAAATTTACCTTTTCTAGACTTCAGGACAGCTCTCAGAATAATCAGACGATCGTTGATTCGTTTCATTCCTAGCAAAGTTTGTGCAACACGGAAATGGTATTTCGCAAAAGGAGTGTGAGGTTGTCTGAAATTCAGCAGGCTCGTCTAATAGGTTGTCACTCTGACATCAAATAAATCTGAATGATCCTTTATCAAACTCAGGGACCTTGACTTAAGCTGAAATTTCTCATAAGCTAACAAAAATCGTCACCGGTTCAACATACCTACTAGGATAGCTGCAATATTTAGCTCCTGGCAAATCAAACCGTTCAAGTGACCCGCGAAATTTTTGCTGCACAATCAAGAACCACTTGTAATTTCTTCTGCCTCTTTTGAGTTAATAACCGCATATTGCAGCAAATACTGACGTGAACGATATTCTAGCTTACTTTGTATATCTGGAGACAATTCAGCATATCTACTAATAGCATCGTGAATGCTTTTGGTGTACCTTTCGGATAAACATTCGACCCCCCTAGCCTAACAGGCCATGATGTCAGTTGACTCCAACAGATACTTAACGGTAGGAAGAATAAATTCATATTAACTGGGAGAACCTTGTAAACGGAAATATTGTGCTTCTATGTACTCAATGGAGCATCCAATGAAAATTGCATATATTTATCAAATAGCTATGTTTTATAACCAGAGAATTCGAACAGCCAATACAGGCTATATATTAATTAAGGAAAACTTGAACTCAAGTGTACTTTAGACTACTTATACCTGTCAACCCTCGACTGATATAGATCCCCGACCGCAACGTTCCTCCAGGTTCCCATGTACCTATGTTAATTGTTGCTCTGGTTGTTAGAAGGAGGACCGGCTCCGTGGTTTCCGAAGAATTTCTGCTTTAACCATGAGTGGTCATAAGCCTTTTTCTAAATAAAAACCCTTCAACTCCCAGGGCAAGTTCGGATGATTTAAGTGATCTTTTCTGGCTAGTGATTCGTATTAGTTTTATTTTCTACGGGATAGGGTTGCTAATTCCATGTCCTACCCTCCTCCTTTACCGTGACTTTGAAACGGCTGTAACTCTTGAAGGGCCCATGACGGAGTTGTAGCGTTAAATGTTCACCTAATCAAATCGTTTGATCAAGCTTTCCTAGTAATATCAACGTAGAACCTAATAAAACACTTTTTCCACGCTGCAACATTGTTAGCAGCATAGAAATATGATCTCTGAGTTGGTGGTTAGCTGACGAAATTACACACGTACAAAGTGTCGCACAATCAACGTTGAACCTGGCATAAGTGTAAGTTGGTCTTATACCGTGTTGACACGACGAGTTATCTTACACTAGGTAAACATAATAAATAAATAATATATTTGTAATATCCCAATGAGTAGAAAGATTAGATTTTCTGACGTTTCGTGATTTAGCGTAAGTTGCTTCTTCAGATAATAAATAACCAATTTAAAACTAATCCAAGTTTAAATAGTACAACGGAACAATAAGAATAATGATCAAAAGCAGGTCTGAACAAGTTAGTGTCATGTCATTTCAGTCGTGATTCAAAAGTGATATGTATATAAATTTGTGTGACATTTATGGGAGAAAGGGTAGAGTTTAATTTGTAAGATGATAGTGAGAATTGTAAATAGGATCAGACTGAATGGCTAGGATAGATAGTCTAAGTAGGATGTATGGCAAGGCCTTCTTTTGCTATTGAGAGAAGTAGGATTAACATTATATAGAACGCCTCAGCTACCCTCCTTTCTTTGTAGTTGGAAAAGCCTTTTTGCAATATTTTGATATTTTTAAAATCGATTTGGTGGTTGTTGAAATGGCATGATTTAATTTGAAGTTTATCCAATTCTACGGAATTGTTAGGTTTCTGCGTGTACTTAATATGTTCTTTGGCTCTAGTCAAGATTTCTCGAGATGACTCTCCAATATAGAAGGCATCACAATGGACATGAATGGGACTTTTTCTTTTAAGCGAACTAAAGTATTTCGAAGTGTGTTCGTTGTTTTGTAATATACTTTAATTCTGTGTTGTTTTAAGATTCTTTGGATTTCTTCTGTTGTGCCATGACGGTATGGTAAAACTGCAGTACCAACCCATGGCATTTCATTCGAATTACTATTATAACGCCCTAAACCGTCTTGTTTTAATATACTTCTGATAATCTTCGTAGGAGAATTGTTAAGTTGTGAGATACTAATTAGATTCTTTTGTTCTTTTTGTTTGTCTTCCTCTGATTTGATGATCTTAGCTCTTCTAAAAAGATTTAAGGCTAGCGAGATCTTAGCACTGAAAGGATGTGCTGAATGGAAGTCAATATAGCGATTAGAGAATGTAGGCTTTCGGTAGATGGATAGATTTAGAATTCCATTTAGATTTCTTTTCATTAAACAATCTAAGAATGGTAGCTCACCATATTCATTTTCATTCGTGAATTTGATGTGAGATGAAAGTGTATATATCCGTTTTGAAAAAGATCTTAGATGAGTATTGTTTATATCACCACAAATTCGTGGTATAACATCGTGGGCGAAGATATTTGATTCTGAGTGTGCCATAAAAAGGTTGGCTACAATCGGGGATACAGGGGATTCCATTGCTACACCGTTAGTTTGCGTGTATAGCATCCCGTTAAAGGTGAATAGAGTTAAGTTTAAGCAGAGTTTTAAGGATCTCACGATTAGACTGTTGCTCAAATGGCATCTGTCAGAAAGAGTATTGCCGTTCTCTAGTAAACCACTAATGAATTCTAAGCATTTATCAATGGGAATACTAATGTATAAAGAAACGAGATCAAAGCTTACCATGACCCCATTCTTCTCGATAATTAATTCCGGTAATTTTGATTTAAAGTCATATGTACCTTTAATCATTGTGTAACTTAAGCTGTAGTTGTTTTAATATGTTGCTTAGATATTTCGATAACGCATATGTTGGCGTGTTGCTAAAGTCTACTATCGGTCTTAGAGGGATATCTGGTTTATGAATTTTCGGTAAACCATAAAACCGTGAAACATTACATGATTTGAGATGCAGAGCAAACCAATGACTGGTTTTAGCTCTTTCAAAAGTTGACGTGTTTCTGATTTGACTTTATCTTTAATGGTTAGAGAATTTTTCGGATTGATGCTTTCATATGGTTCTGTTGAGAGATGTTCAAGAGCTTTATTAATACAATCTGTTTTATTCATGACTACTGTTGTGTTGCCTTTGTCGGCTTTCGTTATGATAATCGTTTTATCTTTTTGAAGCGAACGTAGAGCCTTCAACTCTTCTTTTGAAATGTTTGGTGTAATGTGTTTTTTAGTCAAAATGTCTTTTGACGTAATAAGTGCGACTGTTTTTCCGGTAGTTGTGCGACTATTGGTTCTATAATTGGAGCAATTTCAAGAGTACTAAGTGGTTTTCCATGTAAATTGGAATTTAATCCTTTCTCCAGTAGTGATTTCATGACTGGTTAAGTTTCTGTCCAAGAGATTATGAACAATTCTTCTTAGATTTTATTACTGATCATTTGATGTTTTCGAATTTTTTAATTTGCTGGTGTTTCGATGAATTTGAATAAAGAAGTTAGAAATCGTGGTTTGTAATTCAATAGGAATTATAAGCTTCAGTAGATCATTAATTTTTTGATTCATTCACGATATTTTACAAGTAAACATGTGCATTTGTGAATGCGTTCTCGTAAAAATATTCGATAAGTGCGTTGAGAAGTCTGGATAGATCTTCACAAAAAGAGACTTCGGGATAATGTTGTCTTGTAAGCATCGTTTATTAAATATTCTGTGATTGTACCAATAGCATTTACACTTGGATAATTAAAGTTGAATTATTGGGTAAAGTTTCGTAGGTCACTGGTGAGCCTGTAAGACCAAGGCTTGATTATTAGGTGTACATGTTTGTCAACCGTCGTTATTCCGTGATAAGTTTAAAGCAATGTTGTTGTGATTACAAACGGGTTATCGGGAACTTTTTTAATGTTCTATCGAACGCTTTCGGCCACTTTACTGTTTATTAATTGTGTATGCTACATATTAGAGTTTAATTCCCATAAGAGATTTTATCTCTAGGCCTTAATGTTTGCTATATTTGGGCATCTCATCTGGCATGGCGAGCTGTACTATTGTAACATGTTCATTACTAGGAAGTTCTTGATAACGCCAGATTCCTGGAATAAAATCCTCACATCCCAGTAATCATCCATCAAATGAATGGAGAAGTGACCAAACTTATTTCGTATAACGACCCGATTGAGCATTGAAAACTCCCGGCACCCTCAGCTTTGTTATTCGTGTTTTGACAGTAAACGTTAATTTAAGGAAGTTTTAGAAAATATCTGACGTAAGTGCATGAAAGAAGTAATTACAACCATTTCGTATGTTTATTTTTTGTAGCTGACAAAAGATGAACTCGAAACATGTGAAATCTCTTTGCAACCCGGTAGTTCACAAAAAGCAAGTCGAAGACGACGTAAACGCTAGAATCTTTTCTACATAGATGTCTACTAAAGAGAAAATACTGTCAGATGAATGATATAATCTTATTACATTTGACAGTATTATATATCTTCACTTCTTGTAATCTAATTGTCAATTCACTCAATCATTGATTTAAAGAAAAGTTATATATGTGTATACTGTTATTAATTTATGGAAGATAATATATAATTCTACTGTCTGCTCTCTTATTCGAAATTGTACAACATTTTTTCTGCATATGTTTGGTCTTTGTTTTAACTTAATAAATCCTAATTGTTTTATGACTTCTATTAAACTTCAAAATATAAATAATCATAAGATTAAATTAAAATAGATTTTACAGATCATGTGTCTAATTTACTTACAAATGTTAACTAAACATTAGTCATTGTTGTACGAATAAAATGTATTTTCGCTGTATATTGTATTTCTTCATTCAGAGTTTTATTGGTGTGTACTGTCGATAACGGAAGTAATACATCTAAACATAGATTCAGCTTTCCGAAGACTAATTTCTAATTATAATAAAGACAACTGTTAGATTTAATGTATTTTGGTTTTTTGAAGTTCCGATTAGTCACTTCACTGTAGAGTTCAAAGTATCACTGATAAAGTTTACTAAAATAGTTTCTCACAAAACAATCCGATAATTACTCTTGCACCTCTGACTTAGCGGTTTCGATCCCGCCCCGCGCGTCATTAAGTATACGCTTCCTGATAAGAATAAATGATGCAAACTCCTTTCGCATGGTCATGAGATTTTTCCAGTAGTCTATGTTTGCTAGCAATAAACTATTACATCACAGTTTCATTTTGATAATCAGCTACGGATACTTTTTTTAATGGGGGAGGGGGTTTACACTGTGGACCAGGAACCTTATTGGTTTTAAATGATTATCTATCAAAAATCATTTCCTGATAATAAACTGCAAAACTGTAAATTTTCTTCATGAGTGAGAAAAGCAAATATATTAATTATTGATCATATTGTAGGAAAAATACACAAGATTAAGTCTCACCCAGAAAACACAGCATCAGTAATTAAATAGTTATTTATTGGTTTCTCATCACGAAATACTGACAGAATTATTTTTCTGTGTTAAAAAAGACAAACCGTTTCACACACAAAACATAAAAGGGAATCATCGGAAGTGGAGAAACGATTAAATGAAACATAGTTATTCTTTGTCCTTAGTTTTTTGTGTGAGCAAAATAGATGGGTACTTAAGATTTAAACAAGCTAATTGAAGAACAGGTATTAAAAGATTTGATGCATTTTTTAAATAATTTTGTGCATTACTACATTCTAACAATAAATTTAAAATGTATTGACTTTTTGATAATTGGGTCGTGATAGTGGTAGCAACGTTAGAATTTGACCCTTCTTGTTCAAATACTTCTGTTGACTTTTTCGCATGTAACTAGAAAAATATACATATGGAGAGAAGATAGAAAAATTTAAATTAACTGCCGAACAAAGATCCAGTATAGACTCTATACTGTTGAATGCTTCGAGGTAGTCAACAGGAAATTCTGAGTGATCTATGTTTCGTAAGTCAGAAAAGCATACATGTATTCTGGAGGAAATTGGAGCTTCCTGAGGGATTCAAACCGATATCACCCAGCTTTATAGTCTAAAAGGTTGCCATTGAGCTATTCGGGCAGCAACTGAACTGCAGGACTGAGATAATCACTTTAACCGATCACAGATTAGCATAAAAAAGTGCACTTGTTGTTAAGTCAGTTAGAATGCTGGCCATATTGACACATGATTGATATAATTCGATCAGCACCAAAGGTTGGACAAAAGTGACACCAGTTACCACTTAGTAATCAATCAGAACAAGGCCTAAACACAAACATGCCATGTATGAAAAATCAATTTTATTGAAAAGATTATAAGTCACTACTCATAGTTAGCATCCGAAATTCATAGGACGGAGTAAACTGTAAAGTCGTGCATAGAAGACAGATGCATTCCAAGTGAGGATCGGAGTCATATAAGCCTATTTACTCTCTTCCTCTATTTTCTAGTGTTTCAACTGGATTATGAAGACCTCGACATGTGAGAGGAAAATGCAATACAACGGACAATTCAGAATCAGTTAGAAGATTCGGACTACGCAGATGAACTGGCCCTCCTATACCATACACACGAACAAATGCAGATGAAGAAAACTAGTGAGCAGCAGTCTCTGAATCAGTAGGCCTTAACATACATTAAGGAAAAAGCAAGATCCTCAAATACAACACGAGAATACCAACACAATTACACTTGATGGCGAAACTCTGGAAGATGTGGAATCCTTCACGTACCTGTGAAGCATCATCGATGAACAAGGAGGATCCAATGTAGATGTGAAGGTACGGATTGGGAGAGCAAGGGCAGCATTCATACAGTTGAAGAACATATGGAACTCAAAACAACTGTCAACCAATATCAAAGTCACAATCATCAATACGAACGTCAGGACAGTTCTACTGTACGGAGCTGAAACTTCGAGAACTACCACAACCATCATCGAAAAGGTACAAATATTTATAAAGTCGCCTAGGCAAGATACTCAATGTCCGTTGGTCGGATACCATAAGCAACAGCCTACTGTGGGAGGGAACAAATCGGTTTCCATCTGGACTTAGAAAAAGACGATGGAAGTGAATAAAACATACAGACAGTGACCAGAAATTTTTCTCGTGGAACATCCGAATTCAAGCTGCGCAGTCAGAAAAATACGTCAACTATTTGGTCGTTTCGGGCTACCAGAATTAAAAGTTAGCGACAATGAAACACAGTTTACGTCCTCTATCTTCTCCGGATTTTGTCAGCGGAATGAAATCAATCATGCCCGAACACCAGAGATAATTAACGGGGTCTCTCCAGCAGAAGCTTTACTTGTCAGAAAAATACAGACACCTTTCGACGTTATTCGTCCAACGCCAGCTCTTGAGCCTCAACGAAACATATCGATGGAAAAACAGTTCAATCGACATCATAGGGCACAAAGACAATTGTTCACTACGAGTCAAAAAGCACTTGCTATGAACTGTCGTGGCAAACATCCTACATGAATGGTTGGCCGAATAGTGCAAAAGAGTGAAAGTGTGGTTTACGAGGTGTCAGATGGTTCAGAGGTTTGGGTGCGTCATGCTAACCAACTGAAAGCAACTTTGATCCCCAGAAATGAGACTTGACAAAGAACACCTCATGATGTTTTGCTGGACACCTTTGAAACCAAAACTCCTGTGACAGACTGGCCAGTCTTTGCGAAAGCAGAGTGATACCACTTCTTTATTGCCGAGGTGGACAAATCGAAAGCACACACCAGTCACGCGGTTGCAGGGCGACCCTATCCTAAGAATCTGTTCACAGGAGAGGTGTTGACGAGATATAGATTGGATTAAAATGTTTCGTGTAGAATTGTGTCGGGGCACTCTGATTGGCTATTTCAGCGCTAGCGGATACTTGGAGAGGACTCGAGAATATTCTTATGCGAAAATTCCAAGTATACTGACGTTTTTTATTGCGATTCCTACTTCCATCCACCCTTTTTATATGGAATATGACTACGTCCCTGTTCAACCGTGTTCTAATTTGGGGGATTTGTCGAGTAAAGTAGTGTCCAAGAATACTAAACGATCAGAGTAGCTGGGCTGTAATAAGAGAATACATAACACCAACCCTCCCGCTCCTCTAGCGACACTTGAGACTGGCAGTAACCTTTGGAGGGCTTCAGGTGAATTTAACATTGCATGTGTCAGAAGGAGATTAGCAGGATTCTCTCACTTGAAGTAGATTTCTTATTAATTGGTGAATGACAAGGAGCGTCTAGAAACTGTAAAAAATGATTTCTGTGAGATTAGAACGTACGTTGACACTATTGTCACAATCAGAGACATTACTGTTGAGCTATTCAGGTAACGGTGGCCGTCAAATAGACGTGATATAGTAATAATAAACGATACTCGGTACATGCGATTAGTGGCTTAACTCATTTTAATGGACAGATTACACTTTAAAATTTAGCGATAAAGTATAAAATTCTGAAAAGTATATTACATACAAGGGATGAAGACCATCTAACTTACACTTTTTATATTTCTAATGAATTCTTGAGAAAGGCAAACTAGAGCTTCAACAGAGATTCGGAAGAAGCTATTATTAATACAAAAAATAAAGATAAAGGAATTAAATGCAGACAAATGGGTAAATAAAGATCATCATTATTAACACTCTTATTACTTAACATTTATTTCTGAAATTTGTATTTTTAATATACAGATTCGATATTTATTACGTAGCAGGCTCAAATTGTAATCACACCCTACATCTGGTACTCGGTGATACTATCCAGTAGCCTAGATTAAAGTGGAATTTAATTTGAACTCGAGTGACTCACTAACTAAGCTACAGCTCGACATAAAGTAATTACAATGACTCCAAATAATGTATAATGATGGTAAGTACACACTCTCTTCAACACCTAAAATTACTGCACAATTGTGTTATTGAGATGTTAAGCGGCTTTTTTTGTCATGTAAAAGATGTACATATCCATAGATAATTAACTAGTTCGGCTTGACAACAGAAAGCAGAACAAGTAAATGAACAGAACTAAATTCTTATGAAAACCTCGAGTTAGCAAATGAGTAATACTAAAATTAGAAGCCCATCACATCAACAAATTTAACATCTAATTACGTTTCTTATTTTCTGCCTAGACATAATAATGTAGTTCAGCAAAGATTTAATCAATAGTTATCATACTACAATTTTTCAAATAAAGCTTTTGTGGTACTCCGGCTAGTACTACAATATCTGTCGAACGTACTTTCCGCAGAAGAACAGATAACTGGTGTTAGAACTCATCCTTGATTGCATCCGGGCTGCAATCTGTCGGTGCATAGGCGGAGATGACGAAAATATATCGTTTCTCACACCGATTTCTTCTCACTTTAATGCAAAGATTTACTTAATAGTTATCATACTACAATTTTTCAAATAAAGCTATTGTGGTACTTACTACTCGTTTGCACACAATGAAGATTGCAGTGATCTAAGTATATTGTGAAAAGGCAAAGTAATTTAATCATACTTAGTAATTACTCCATTTATATCGATTTATTGGGAAATACTGACTATTGGATTCACAATCATCTCATCAGCTAACTATAACTGTTCTTCACTTTCTGTCTGACCCTAAACTTTTTACATTATTGCTGGTGTTAGTCGGTGATGAAAACTGAATGTGGTGATAGTCCTAACTCATAACAATACCCCAACTACTACTCTGCAAAACCTAACTGTCTTCTTTTAATGAAAAGAATAATTCGACATATGAGGGTTGATTATTGAAATCGAAGCTCTTATTAAATTGTTATAATACTGCTTTTTGCCATTAATTCTTTCGTAACTAGGCAGTGTTTCCTGATTGGCTGATAAATTGCTCAAGGTCGTCAGTACATTATAGTTTTATCGTTTATAGATTAAATAAACAAACTTACCAAGCTAAGATTTGTGATAATTCTACAAAATCTATATCAGTCTTATGTACGTGAACTAAAATACACTCAGAGAATTTATGTAAATATTCTAAATAGGCCGAAGTGAATTGTGCCAATGAAGAAATGGATTGAAAGTAAATTTCCTGTAAGGAATAACAACAGAACAAGAACAATTAATCAGCATAAATTTTAGTAGAAGGTTTCAACAATATATTTCATCAAGTATAGACGTTTACACGTACAGGTATTTGAGTACAAGATTTAATGTGTAGCACGATAGCTTAGTAGTTAAACCAATTGATTTTCTATCGCGGAGTTCTAAGTTCAAACGCCGTCCCATCAAAATCGGTTTAGACAGTCAGAGACAGACAAAATCTGACTCAATTTATAGCACGCAAATCTATACTAGTCAAAAAATCCTGTTAAACTACCTTACAAGCGTAAGTAAAAGACTAAGAACTACGAAAAAAAAAACCTACTAACAAGACTTAAGAGAAATGAGATATTTTGTATTTGATACGAAAAGACACCTATTTTCCCACTAAATAACATATTAGTATATATATATATATATATATATATATATATATATATATATATATATATATATATATATATATATATCAAATATTGTGAAAATATTCACTCAAAATTGGGCAAAAGTCCTTACAATGACAATTTATTATTGTTGAAAAAAAGTCAGGAAAATGAAATGATTTATCTTTCCAACAAAACAAATTATGAAATCATAGTATATTAAAATGAAGTACGGTAGAAGCTGTGGAATTCTGAATTGGCATAACTCTCATTAATAGTTCGACTTTCCGTAATATTGTAGTGAACGAGAACACAAGTATTTGAATACAAATTATAGAACATCTTAGTAAAATCTGAGAGCCATACAGTAAATACTTCATTTGCAAAATGTCAATCAATTGTCTCAGACTTCATTGTTCCTATTCAAATTAAAAGCTTTTTCAATTTTAATACATAACTTCATTTTTCATGATCTGTTTTAATAATGTGATTGCTTAATTTATTTGCACCGGTTTTATTAATTACATATTGTTAATGTTAGATCTGTTACTTTTATGTCAGAAGAATGCTGACCTGTGTTGAGGGTACTAAAACCGCTTGAATCCGACAAGTAGTAAGAACAAAAATACTTATGGATTTATTTCATCTCGGAAACAAATCAAACTGATATTTGTATATACTGCTTTTTATACGATTTATTCACAGCTATCTTAAGATTCGAATTTGCATAATTTGAACTCAGTGCTGCTTGACATCGATTAATCATTGACTTGCTATGTGAACATATATTTGTAATAACATGCCGACCAATGTTCAAAATGACATAATCTTGCTCTTTTGATTCCATCATATCAATTAATTTTACAAATAACACTAAACATTTAAACTCAATTGCTTAATTAATTCTGATTTTCAAGTAACGAGTTGATATAATAAAAATCGATAGTGTAATCTTATCTTTAGATCTTATTTTACATCGGTTGAGTTGCTGATTACTATTTTAGATAAAACATTAAGATTGATTAAGGTAGATTGACTAACCACTATCTATTTGATAGTGATTTTATTCTTAACTGCAAATATTATATTATTAGTATAAAGTTTTGACGAGGAACTACTTTAAAAAAGAAATATTTCTTTGCTCAACTAGTATTTTCAATGTCGTAATCGGAATATATATATATATATATATATATATATATATATATATATATATATATATATGCTCTTACTTCAGTCGATAACTTTTCAGACTTATCGAAGTCGCACATTTTCCAAACATTAGTTATAGCCTGTGAAAAATATAAAAGCACGTTAATTATTTAAGCAAGAATATAAAGTTTGTTTCAAATTAGTGTAATAAATAAACTCCAGAGCACATCATGGTTACGCCGTATTACTTGATCTAATGTAAATCATCGGTGAAATATACCTTTGTGTATAAGGCTGTGGAATTAGAACACCTGTAAGTAATGGGCGTATTGTTTGAAGTAGGGATATACCACTTGCCTACGTGCCCCCCTTAAATGACCGCGTACAGTAGAAAATGAGGAGAGTTTGCTATTCATCTATCTTATCTGGCTCCAGTTATAAATGCTTATTGATTAACTTCGTATGTATTCTGAAATCTAAATCACTGGAGATAATTAACGTTACTTCCTCACTAGATTTTCGAAACCGGGTTACACAAAAAGATTGAAGTTATTTTACCACGGCTGAAAACTTTACTGGTTTTGAAAATCTTGTGAGAAAGTAAACTTAATTATCTTTCGGGGTTTAGACCTCAGGAAATATACAAAGTCAATCAATGAGAGTTTATAATTGGAGTCAGATAAAATCGATAACCAGTAAAATCATTTTTAGAACTATCGATATTACTGGACGACAGGCTTGAGAAGAGCAAGGGCGTAAATAAAGTTTTTTTAGTGCGTGGGTTGGTAAAAATACAAAACTCAAAGCACAGTCTTTTAAATGCTATTCGTGGTCTATTTATATCGATAGTTCTAACAAGGATTTTACTGGTTGTCATGTTTTAATACTGATATAAAAACCAATAATCTGTATGATGACGAATATTTTTATGACGATGAGCTCGATTAATCACCCCATTGGTAATTCAGATTCATGCTGTTTGCAATAACGTTTCTGACACCATAAACGCTCAATAATACAGAAAGAAACTTCAAAAGGACAACATTCAACTCAAATATGTGTCAGGTTGTATGCTGCATGTAACTTTACAACTAATAACATTTCAATGATAGTAACATAAAAGATGGACTGTATATAAGGATATAATACAGGAAGAAAGAATTAGATCGTAGAAATAAAGGCATAAAGCAATTTTAATCTCGCCGTTTAAGGGCAGACAAAGAGTGTACACACCTACGGCATTGTGATCGATTCTGAGCTATGTCACCCAGAGTCTCCAAACATTGGTTACAATAGTCATGCGAACCCCAAGTAGTCTGCATCTACCAACATGGTTAAGACTAGAAGTTAGTGACTTCGAACAATGATGTCACGTTTTGGTTTGGCCACCCCTTTATTCCAACAATCCCCAACACTAGTCAGCATTGCGCGTCTTGGTAATCGGTGTCCAAGCATATCGCCTTCACCATAAGTGACGTAATTTAGCGAAAGCCGAGCGAGCTTTTTGAAGCCGTGCTGAGCTTTCGTCGGGCACCAACCCATTAGGGCTGATCAGACTTCTAAGATAAGTTAAGTTGTCGACGCGTTCGACTACTTCGCTCCCTATCCTTAGTTCAGGTGTTGATGCAGACCAGTCCTGAAGTAGCAGCTTGCATTTAGAGGGAGAGAAGCGCATTCCAAACATTCTGGCATTGTTGCTTAGTGCTACCAAAAGACTCAGCATTTTATCAGCGTCTTCACCGAACAGGACTATATCATCTGCGTATTCTAAGTCGATAGGTGGACCTCCTGGAAGGAGATAAATGCCCGGGAATTCAGTCGACGAGAACGTCATTTCCATCAATAGGTCTATGGTGAAGTTAAACAAAAATGGACAGCCTTGACGGGCACCACTTGAGGTTGCAAAAGCAGATGACAGTTCACCATAAGCTCTGACTCGACTAGTAGTGTTCGAGTTAAAAGCCTTCACAAGGTTTATGTACTTCTGAGGTACGCCTTTCAATGACAGACACTGCCACAAAATCTCGCGGTCTACCGAGTCAAATGCTGCTTTTAAGTCAAGAAAGACCACCATTGTCGGACGCTGATAAGTATGCCTATGTTCTAGACCCTGACGAATGGTGAATATGTGGTCGATGCAGCCACGACCATGTTTGAAACCAGCCCGATTTTCTCATGTTTGCAATTCACGAGTCTTAGATTGGTGCCCGATAATTGTTGAGGCTGGTATTTAAGATGCTAAATTAGTCGAACTAATCCCTCTATTGTTATCACAGGATGGTGTTGACCCCTTCTTCTGTATTGCGACAATCAGTGATTGTGACCAGTCAGATGGGGTTACGTCCAACTCCCAGATTTTAGCTGATTTATTAGTCAACTTACTTACTTACGCCTGTCACTCCTCGTGGAGGAGCATAGGCCGCCCAACAGCACTCTCCATCCAACCCTGTCCTGAACAATCCTTTTCAGCTCCTTCAAGTTGTTATTCATCCTTTTCATATCTACTTCTATTATCCGACGTAATGTGTTCTTTGGCCTTCCTCTTTTCCGTTCCCCTTCAGGATTTCAAGTTAGGACTTGCCTCGTGATGCAATTTGGTGATTTCCGTATTGCGTGTCCTATCCATTTTCATCGTCTTTTCCTAATTTCCTCTTCAGCTGGAAGCTGCTTTGTTCTCTCCCACAGAAGGCTGTTGCTGATGGTATCCGTCCAACTTATTATTAGTCAAGCTAATCGTTAGAAATAGACCACCATACTTAGAGACCTGTTGAGATAATCCATCTGGACCAGCTGCTCTTCCTCTTTTCAGATTAGCTATGTCCTTTCGAACTCCAACTAGAGTCGGGGGACCTACTCCAATGTTCCATTCAGGCTGTCTGGGAATGGTGGGTAGTTGTAGAGTAGCTGAATGTCAGATGAACTACTCCTTAAATTGTTCCGCCTATCGTTCTAAACGTCTGGGCTGAGAGCAGATAAATGTCGTATTTTTCTGAGATCGCATCACTTACATTTAACATCGTGATTCCAGTTTCGTTTATTAGTCCGAAAAACTGTCTTGTGTTACCTACAGCCTCTGCTTTTTCCATCTCTTTTGCTTTCGTTGCCTACCACTGATCATAGTCGTTTCTTAGACTTTTGGTCAACCTAGGTCTGATTTGCTTTCGCTCTTCATCGTGTTCAGAGCCTGATGGGATGAGTTTACGAGAATCCATCAGTGCAATAGACTTAAAAGAAATCCATTGGTTTTTTGTAACCTTTTGGTTCAAATCACTAATAGATGTCACTGCTGTTTCCACAGCCGGTCGTACATCATTTATGACCATGATTTGCTTATTCACCAACCATAATTTTAAGCGAAGATGGTCAGTGACTAGCAGTGGAATGCAGGACGCGCGTTTAGTCCTGTTTGGAACTCGTCAGCTGGATGTCAATAAGAAACTGATCCATCGCAGCCCTAAACATCAACCGGAACGTTCAAATAAACAATACAACATGAATTTAAACTTAACCACATTGAACAAGCCAGTGTCTATGAGGACTCAGTAGCAAACTGGATAACACGATGGCGTTTGAAGCGAACGGTATTGGGTTTGAGTCCTAGAGTGCATATCAGTTGTGTGATGCAGGTACATCCAGATGACGAGTACCGAATAGGACGAAACGCGCGTCCCGCATCCTACCGTTAGCTACTATTTATCTCCGCTTAGAATGCTTGTGAATCAAGGAAATATCGAGGCAATACGCACAGTAAGCATATATGACAATAAGAGACTGACTACTCGCAGTCCTAAACATCAATGGGAAGATTCAAGCAAACAATACCAAGTGAATTTAGTGTTAATTTACGTTTTAGAAAAACAGATTAAGTTTATCAAGCCAAATAGCTTACTCGTTCTGACTTCCGCTAAGCTGAAACTCTGTGCTCGACAGTCTAGGAAATAGTTTAGAATTGCATCTGTAGGAAATTACTTCCTACACTTCCCATCAAACGACTGTACTTTTTTATTAACCACTTCCAATAATAATAATAATAATAACATTATTGGTTATTATATTTGCGTAATTTCAAGGTACTTAAAACAATGAGATATACACCATAATCGTTCATAACTTGAAAATATCCCCTTTTCTCTCTAATTGTCTCATATCTTTATGGTTTCACTGAGTTGTTTCTGATATTACCTCATTTCATTTTTTACCCCTATATTACCTTTAATTAATGTAATAAAAACATTTTGTTCTTACTTCAACCGCATTATAATCCATCGCCAACCTAATTTTACAAAGCTTTCAGTTTGCACACACAATCTCCTATTGTTATTATTCATATTACGTGATCTAGCATTACGATGTTGGGAAACCCTGATTCCAAACCAACGGTGCAAATGATCTTCAGGATTCTAAGGAAACGAACGATGTATGACTATTTTGGAAACCAACTACTAAGGGACTGAATCTTAAGACGCTGGTTCACAGCCTTGTGAAATATATCCCTGAGTAAAGGTTTGAATAGTGGTGACTTGCTTTAGTTTGGGAGTCCGAACAGCATACCGTCCCTCAAATAAGTATGATCATTCATAGTTATTAAAATGATATACTTGCTCTTCTTTACTATTAACTCGAACGATAGTTGCACTCCATTCGGTTACAATGTACGTTCTACTTTGCGCCAGTGTACTATTCCGTTTAGCTTTCATATAGTATCCACCCATATCTCTCAATTTATGCATCAGTGTCACGATTATATCGTATCTATTTTCCTCTATCATCATTTACAGTTTCATGTAAAATCAGAATTTCTCAAATTTAGGGATTTTTTTAGTACATATTAGGACTATAATTGTGAAGTATGCATCGACAGAGATTTTGAAAATAGAGGGAAACCGTAGTTCTATTTTTCGCTGATTTCCAATACTTTTCTAGTTGACGTCGGTCTATTGACGGTAACCATCACAAATTAGGGTTAATCAACATTTTCGTGGATGAATCAATAATAATGATTAGTGTAGAAGACTTCGAATTATACTCCAAATGGTAAGAATTTAAATAAACAAGTAAATTATTCTAATGATGACATTTTATCATGAGCACTTAGCATACACAAGGTGATCGGTATGAGGAACAACACATAAACATACACCTAAAATGAAGCAAAGGTACTCATGCTTGTGTGCAAGAAACAGAGCACTAAGGTAATTTTATAGGCTATCAATGTTAGCTATTTTAAAATAATACTGATTAGTTTTAATTATCAGGATGATTGCTTCGCTCATGACTGACCACAGATTCTCCTAGTTAAGAACTAAATTCGTTCAACTCGTTGTAATTTAGAGAGACGCTACATCAAACTCATCACAATTTTAAATAGATAAATGATCTCGTTGATAACCAGTTTTATGTTGTTTTGGTTTCCCAAACATCGTGAACATAGTTATTGCTGAGGGATGCCAATAAGCTTTCTATCTATCGATTTCAAAACAGTGCATTTCGTGAAAGAATCATACAACTTAGTTGTTATATTGTGCAACCTGAAAAGTAACTTTTAATCATCAATGTTAAAGTGAAGTATGATGTTGGACAGTATCCATGTAATTATGTGTTTCATACACCAAATTACCGTCTACCCCAATGTAAAATGCTGGATGTCACAGAGGTAGATTGGAAAAAGTAATGGGGCATCCAAACCAACACATCACATCTAACCATGAAGTCACTAACCGTTATAGTGTGAACCATTTTGGTAAACAGAGACTGTCTGATTAGTGCCTTTATGATAATCATATTCGATGGTTGTATGTATCATCGCTGAAGAGCGGAATCATCAGCTTAGATATGTTTATTATTTATCTTCTACTGAGTTTTGAGACATTATTATTGCATAGCTTTGTTTGGTGAACCATTCTGAACCATATTCCCTGTCCATTTTTTATTGCTATCATTAATGTTATTTTCACTTTTCTGTGATCGGTCTCGTTAAATTTATCTTGCAATGCTATGAAGCGACGTGGACAGTTCTGTATTAGTACCAGATCATCTATTGATAATGACTGGTCGGCCATATAGTTACGGGACCCTAATCTAAAAAGTACCTAAAACATTATATGCGTTCACAGAGATGCCTTCTATTAAACAATGAGTACACAGATCTACTAGATCAAGGATCGGCTGATAAAAATATATATAGTGCTTTTTGAATGGCTAATAACAGACAGTTTATATGTTTTGAAACCAGAGTATCTTCGCCACAAAAATTCATTCATTCAAAAATCGACCAGTTCATACTTGAGTTATTTAGGTTGATGAATTTTTATAGTCTACATGATAATTGTGTGAAAACTGGACGAAAGGTCGACAAAAAGACAATGGTCTTAAAAATATGTATGAAAATTCTCATCTTAAACATTTATATGACACCACCATGTTAGTAAGGCTGAGGTCCCATAATGTGCGTTTGAGAGAGGTGATAACAATTAAAAGGGAGACGCCATCGTGAAGCGACGTTGGTGGCTTAAATATGGTTTGTAGATATTATCCTAGTGACTTCCACACTATGCAGTAGTTGTCGATGCTGGAACTGGACCTCGAGTATGAAGGATGGCTGTATAGAACTCTGGAATGTCAGTCTATTGCAAATCCCCGATCGGTGTCTTATAAACTGTGCAACTCAGTGATCTGAGATGCTATTAGATGTGGCTCAGAATGGAAGCTAGTGGAGAACCCGATGTAGTCTTCTGTCACATTTTTCATAAAAGTGGCATGGTCTTCACTTACTGAAGTCTTTGTTGATGTATAAATTGAATAAAAGTCCTTACCATTCAGTATATTAGTAATTACGCGATTAAATAGAATCTAGTTTGAACAGAACAAAGAACAACAAATGTTTATTGATTTACACTTCCAACAAAATTTACACCATAAAGAGTAACCATTCCGTGTAGTTATGGTTTCACATTATGCAAGACAATCTTTTGTGTCTGAATCCCAAGTAATTTAAGTAATATATAATTTATTTTACCAAACTCTATAATTTAGCTGGTAACTAGTATAACTGATCGAATTTTGTTTAACAAACTTAAACTCGTTAACTATATTCTAATCCCTGTGACAGTATAACAGAGAATTGATTCACCTACTTGTTTGAAAAGCAAACCTAACGGACCTTAAACTTACTTCTAAAAATCGTCCATTTGGATAAATTGAGTTTAAACAATCAGATGTTTCAGTTATTTTGCACCATAATTGAACAGTTCGACTACTTAAATTCTCTGGCAATGCTTGATCAGATTTATCATCTTTGACAAGATTATAATCGTTAGGGAGTTTAGTTTTGAATTTCTTCATTATCGATGCATATGAATTATATGTTGGAGAAATCCTGTTGGCAGCAGTGCTGCGATCATGATTATCCACATCGTATTCGTCATCATTATCACCATTTTCTACTTCATCCAAATTTAAATTAGTCCATATTGCTTCAAGTAGATTATCATTATCAGTAGTATCCACTGATAAAGAATCTAAACGAGTGTGTAACTGATTACTGGCTTGTTCACTAACTAATTCCAATGATTCTAAATGAAGTAATGCACGAGAACACTCTAGTTGATAAGTGAAATCACTGCATTTTTGTATGTTGGGTTTTTGATTACTTGATTCGGTAGATGTATGCAATTCATAAGCTTCACGTAGCAACTATTTGAAAAAAATAATGATAAAACAACTATTATTATGTCTCATGAAAGTAGCGTGACATTTATGTAATATGACCTAACCATATTTTATTTTTTGAATAATAAAAAATTTTCACAGATTGAAATCATGAGTCAGTTGAAGCTAGACCACCATTGAAAACCTGGAAGCACTGGAAAGCCAGGTTTTCCATGGCGGTCTGACTTCGACTGACTCATGATTTCAATCTGTGAAATTTCTAAAATCTCCACAAACCCCTTCTGATAATAATCATCTGCTCACCAGTGACTGACTTCAAGAGATACTCCTGGAGTTCTAGTGGGAAGCCGTTACCAGTGAAGTTCAACCAGGTCTGTTGTGAGATATCAGCTCACTGAAGACAATGGTATATGGTGGCGCAACTTCGTGGATTGGCTGAAGTTAGACATTAACACCGTTGGATGCCGGCTCAGTGGCCTAATGGTTAAGTGCTCGCGCGCGAAGCCAGTAGGTCCTGAGTTCGAATCCCGCGGGGTGCGGGACTGTGGGTGCGCACTGCCGAAGAGCCCCATACTATGACGGAACGGCTGTCCAATGCTTCCAAGTTTTCAATGGTGGTCTAGCTTCAACTGACTCATGATTTCAATCTGTAAAAATGTCTAAAATTTCCACAAACCCCTTCTGATAATAAAAAATTTAACAGAATTTAAATTACTTTTAAGGAAACTTGCAATTTCTGAATAGTTCTACCTGGAGTTATTGTGTAGACACATTTTTGTTGTATACTTGCTAAATAATTAAAATACTGTATTTTCGGTACTCCCTACCTGTGAGCTTTTGTTTAACGCATAAACTTATTGTGTTTGACCTTTCTCAAGTTATTGTTAATGTTATAACGCTCGCGATTTACCTCGTCTAAAACGATTATCTACACTAGATCCCTCCCAGTGTCTATTCTACAGGACGTCAACACAACTCAGGCCAAGAACACGTAATTAGCCTGACCACAACGTGAATATATTTCCACACCAAAAACCGACACAGTTTACAACAATGAACGATCAATAATAAGTGCGTCACAATAATAAGGATAATCGAATACATAACTTGTCTGAAACCTGTCAGACTATCTACATGTCTGACTAAGTAGACAACCAATCATGATCATCCTCGCCCACACATCAGTTAATTCATTACGGGCCCATCACTCAATCGTCGTCCACTTGCACGGTTGTGCCCATATTGTAATTTCTTAATCCTGCTGATGTGTTTTCAGGATTTGGTTCCAATACTATCATTTGAATGATTCATAATTCCGAAATTCATAATTATATGTGCTTGCTGAGTTGTTCCCCATTCTGGTTATTGCACGATCAAGTGTGGGAAAATGCATTCTGGACTAATGGTTATTTAGTTTTACTCCCGATTGTCATCTCACATTTAGCGTGCTGTTCTTTAACCGAAGGTCGTTGGCACTAGGTCGACAGTCTGGTTGAGCTATTTAATATGCGGACTAGATCAATACAACTGCTCTCTTGTATTGCGATCCGATAACACGGGCCCCAAACAAACTAATCAAGAAGATGTATTCATTTTCACTGACTTCACTCTAACTTGTGACTTTAATTAATACTCTCTCTACTATGTTGAACTGATTGCAATGATTCCTAATTGCTGGTTACAACTCAAAATTTAGATAGTAACCTACATATAATCCGGACCGAAGTAGGGAGTATAGGGTTTGAACTTACAACATAGTGATTGAAAATCCAGTATTTTAACTATCAAGTTAACGCTTCACAGAATAAGTGCTACAACTAGATATTTTGTCTGTCTTTCTCAGTACGGAGGATTATTAGTCTGAGATAAGTTCAAGTTTACACGACTTGCACAAGGTCTGAAAGAAAATAATCAAATGCACAGGAAAATAGATCGACATAAAATTAGTCTTTTGTTTCATCAAATAATATTGCCCCAGAAGCAGACAACTCATCAGATAAGCACAAAGAATATAACCTTCTGTACCCAGTGACTTAAACACTCACTTCAAAATGTACCGATACATTTTTTCCTGTATTTGATACCTTTTACTGCTACTGATACTTTTACTACTTCTACTAGTTTGAGACTTATCTTGAAATAATTGCATCTTTCTGTGCTATTGTGGTATTTTAACTGGAACCGATGCATAAAATGTGTCAGGTTCTACTTCATGTATAACTGACTGACACTGAAAATTCTGCTGACTGATTTAACAATAAAATAGACCATACAGCAAAATTACTTTGATGAATTAGTGGTGTGGAACAAAATCAAGAGTAGAGAAAATCTCGTCTTGACGATCAATAACCTAAAATATAGATTTTTAATTCCGCTACCTCCCACGATGCTCTCTTAATAGAAACGTACCCCATAGATTTCGTTCGATGTGTAAAACTGAAAATTCGATAGGAAAAAACAGTCCATGTTTAAATACGGAAACAAACCTTAGAAAGATTTGGACAATTATTAATAGCGTTTGGTGGACGCAAAAACTTTTTGGTATAGTTGAAACCAGGATCATTTTCAGCCAATACAGACATCGTTTTACGTCCGATCAGTTCCAGAACATCGACACCTCCTTGTACTAAATTTAAACTCTATAACAATAGCAAAGATAATGAAAAAATTTACTTCGTGTGCATTCTGTCAAGATATCCCGTCAATAGCAATGTAGATACAAGAAGCAAAGTATGAAAGTGATTGAGGAACATGATTCCAACGTTCGTTAACGCGAATGAAAGATAAGAGACAAGGAAAATGCATGTGAACAGGAATGACAGAAACAGCCAACTTTATTTAGCCGAAATGACTCAACATTTACAGGCGTGATAGATACAAGCAAGCATGTAGACCTTAAGTACTTCAGGCACACATGCTTGTCACACATAAATGGCAAAATGACCGGAACAATAAGAATAACTCGTCCGTCCAAAAGTAAGGACACACCATGTAAGTGTATAGCAATACCAGTCGGGCAAAAATGTGCTACGCTAGCGGCCTTGAGCGAAATAATTAGAACTAAGATATTTCCCCATAGATTTTTGGCGAAACTGAGCGTCCAGTGAAGGACAACTTGTATGTTATTATGAACAAGGTAAGAAATTAGCATCGTTTGGTTCTTGAAATCGATAAATACTTATTATGCAACCAGTGAATATAAGATAGTGCTTAAATTAAATGACAAGAAATATCTGATTTTGGTGCAGATTGCATGTTAGAGTACTTAGTATGATCCAATGTATAGTTCAGGATGTTTAGAGTAGCTAGATAGCATTCTTCCACTCTTAACTTCTAGTATCAATAATAAATTTCTTCAATTTGTAATTAGAACAGTGGCAAGTAAAGTATAATTTCACTACAGCTGGTTTAAGCTCGTGATGAAAATCCTAACGTTAATATGTAAGCCGAACTCATAATACATAACCCTGACATTTTGGCACCATAGCTGACGTCAGTTAGCGAAAGCCTTATTGGATTATAACTCAATCTTACAACCTTTAACCTAACTCCTAATATGTAAACTTAACCAATTCGCATGACTATAAGAAATAATTCAACATATGACGAAGACCAATTGGAAAGGGATGAACCCAAAACTAATAACCTGATAGAACTGGAGTCAGCCAGGTTACGTGTTACCCAGTCGGAGAAAGAAATTGAACCATAAAAGTTACGTTGTCAAGGGAATGAAGGTTTCCGTCAATCAGTAAGCAATAGCGAGAATGTAATAGTAAAAAATCTTCATTTACCAAAAGAAATCTTAAAATTCGATGGTACACCAATAAATTACTGGAATTTTATTAGAAAATTCGGAGAATGTATCGGCAGCGAGGACATTGCAATCAGAGCTAGGTTGAATTACTTAATTCAGTATTGTGATGCAGAAGCGAGAACAGCCATCCTTCATTGTACTATGCTAGAACTGGCGATAGATTATCATAAAGCATTAAAGATATTTGAGGAAACGTTTGGCCAAAAAAAGCACGCTACAGCACGTATATTTATTGGCAACTTTTTAAACTTTTCGAATATAAGAAGGAAGCAACCAGACGGTTTGAGAAGATTGTCACGAGAAATGCAAGCATGTGGTCTGACTCTCGAAAAGATGAATTACGTTTCTGATTTGAACTCCACTAGAACTATTTGAAACTACGGTTCTGAAATTATCAACACACGTCCAACAATAGCGGTTAAAGGTAGCTTATAAGATTATTAAAGGAGGTCGAGAGCCTCTGTTTAACAATCTTACTAAGTTTGTAAAGGACCATGCTGATATGGCTAACACTAGATATGGTCTACTTGTTAACCATGGTAGTAATAGTGACAATAGGGATGTGGGTGCTGTAAAAGGAAAATTTAGTGCAGATTACAATGCGGCAAGGATATTGTATTCAAGTTCTAATGATGTTTCCTTACATGACGGATATGGGTACCATAGTTCACATTGTTTGGAGTGCTCAGGGAATCATTTATCTAGACCAATGCCAGAAGTTTAGAAACGAAAGTGTATTGGTCAAAAAAGTTTCCGGGGCCGCTTTTGTTTATCGGAACCATGATTTACCAACGAAACTTAAAACGTTAGATAATCTGAGGTCACTTTAGTACTATGGCAAATCGATGCGATAGGAAAACTAGACTATTAAGCCTAGACGAATATCTTTGATGGAGGAGCTTTTTGAGATTAGATTAATTTTTAGGCAGTAATCATCACAAATTGACTTCAGTTGGGGTATTTTTGCCAATACGGGGTGTTGGGCAGATATTTTGTTGATGTGAGCCATTAGGTACACAGTCAGTGTTCCCCGACAGGGTCGTCAAATTACTTTTATACAAAACTGAGATCAACAGTCACTCAAACTTAATGGGACTGGTTAAGTGTTTTACTCTGAACAATAACATACACTACTTCAACGCTATTTTAATGCCAGTGACTAAATTATGAAGGAATTTTAAAATTTATATATATATATATATATATATAACACTTCGAAATCTCTTTTAACTATCATTATTAATGTAGGATAGCTAAAGATAATTACTAGCAAATTATTAATACAAACTTATTACTCCGAACATATACTCTAAGTATGAGTTTCAAAACGATGAAACGTTAGCTCAAAAATCCTACGACTTACAGTTGCTTGTAGTGAAGAGGTCAATTGTTGACCGAATGAAGATAGACCACTCCAACCCCATGAAAAATTGCTGCTACTTGTCTTTTGTTCTACATCCCGCTTTTCTATGTTTGACGAAATCTGGCTACCACATGAAGAATTGTTAGTTGAGTTAAGACTCTTCGAATTTTTAAACATTGAGTAATTTATGTTGCTTGACTGTGATTCAGATATATCGCCTGATTCCTCCAGAAAGTCTACTTCCCAGCCACCACTCTGTTCATTGTCGTTATCTTCCTCTTCATTGTCATCGTCATTAGTCCACGATATATTCCAAACACTGTTCCATGTATCTAATATTACTTTCCTTTCGCTTTCCTCTCCAGATTGTACTTCAACTCTTCGTTTTAGTACTTCGTCATATGACGGATTTCTTTTTATTACATCCCCTAGCAAAACAGGTGAACTCATCTCATTACCCTGACCACGTGGGATGTTTGGAGTAACTGAAGTTGTGAAATCTACTTCTGTTGAAGATTTAACTGTCGAAAGTTTATATGTTTCAGAGTGAAGTTGAAGTGATGTGATGGGATTTACAATATCTGCTATTACAGGGAGTCGTTCAGTTATGAATTCGTTCACTTTGGAACATTTATTGATGTCATCATTAATAACTTGTTCCTCTTTATTACTTATCGGAAAATCACTTCGTTTAGCTACGAAATTTTTCCCTTCATTTGAACCTACTCTCTCCATTTTAGATTTTACACATTTTACTGGTCCCTCAAACTTTTTGGAAGGACGGAAAGATGAAAGTTGTTGGTCATGTTTTTCATTTTTATTAGCGCTAAGCCCGACAGATTTGACTTCTCCAAGATTTTTCTTTGAGTTGATATTCAACGGTGTTTCATTAACCTGGACTCCCATAAAAAAAAGTACTTTCAAAACTTGCAATAACCGGTTAACGTAAAAAACCGATGATTTTCATAAAAATGTTGATCAATCATTAAAAATTTGCAAATCAAAGTAATAACTTATGAACTATGCCCTAATATGTAAACCACAATGACAGTTTGACAGTCAACTACATTGCCAAAGAGTCATGCAAAATAGAACAAAGATACTACACTTAATGGATGACAATCAAGTGTTACGATTTCCTGATAACAGTTGGATAACTGTTATGGTGAAAAGATGTTGGCGAATGATTATTAACATTACAGTGTGGCTCCAAATCTTCCACAAAAAAGCTGACCCTATTCAATTTTATTATTCGAATACATCTGTTTACGTGAGATAAACAAAGATACAGACTAATAGAAAACTTTTCAATTCCAAAGTGTTCATTATCTAGACACCATATATTCTATTAAAATAAAAACAAAAACTTTCAGCTTACTTTTTGAAACTTTTTGGGCACAGATTGTAATTTCGTTTGTTTGGCAGTTTTCTTTCTTGATTCAACTACATTTGACTTTTTTGTCGATGACGCTAGATTTGCAAGTTGCTTAGATAAAATATTTGGATTACTATAGTCGTGATTATCGACGTTTTCTTTAAAATTAGACTGTAGATGATTTTTCACTGGGTTGTTCGCTTCAACACTAACATGGATGCTTTCGTCTGCACTAGCAAAGGCATCACTGTCATCTGACATTATTTTTGGCCTTACTTTTTAGATGAATCAACTGAAGGATGAACGCATAATATATAGAATATAGATGTGACACAAATTACATTATTTGCGATCAGAAGTTCAAAAATTGATGCGTTTAGTTGCGTAAATTAATTTTCTACTGTGCTTGGTTAAATAAGCATCAGATAAACTAGGGAATTATTTCCGATATACAAAATAACTATTTACTGTTAGTTCTCAGACTACGATTTTTGCAATCGAGGAAAAATGTCCGTGAGTAGTAACTGCGTGTTGGGTATTGCTCTTGAAGAGTCAATCCTGTAAGAAAGCATGTCCTATAAAAAAGCAGTACACCTGTAGTGAACGAGAACAAAAGTGGAGACAGTCGAATGTGTTTGAATACAAAATTACAGGACATCTTAGTAAAATTTGAGAACCATACAGTAAATTGTTTATTTGCAAAATGTCAATCAATCGTCTCAGACTTCACTGTTATTTCGTTCGCACACCAATCATTCTTTGTACTCGTTCTCTTTTCTTCAGTCTTATTAACCTTCTACTGCCAGGTATTTCACTTTCGATTGATGATACATACTACTTATATCTGTCGACATGAGTAGCACATCACAAATCAACCCTCTAAGATCACAGAGCTAAACCAGGAAGAAAACGTTTGTAAACTCTATTGAATCAAATGTTATTTTTCAAGTGATATTAAACAAAATGAGTGGTCTAAATACAAAAATAATAATCATATCCATATCTTTTAAAATGTCTTTATTCAAGCGTCCCCTGCTTAAATAAAAGTCTATCTATATTGAATTTATGGATATAAGTTGGGAATTTTTGTGACGCAAAAACTAGGCTCACATTTTAATCATAAAAATCTAGAGTTGAAGTCCTTACTTTTTCTGATAACCAGCTAGTGATTTTTCAGTATAAACACTTATATGTACCTAAGAGCGTTATAACTATCTCCAGACGATATCTTGAACAAGAAATAGTGAAATGTAATTCAGATTGTTAAATAAACAAATCTTGAGTCTGAATACGATATGGTTCAAGAAATCGCAGTCCATTCCATAAAATTCTTTTCACACCAAACGAATAGTTTTGAGGAGGGTCATTAAAAAGTTTTGATTTCTCAAAGTTTTTTGATAGGGTAGACCATATCGTATGAGTAAGTTTAACCAGATAGTTATCCAGTCACTGTTGACAGACTAGAATAGGTGATAGCTAAGTAATCAGCATAGCACTAAATCGCAGCTTAGGAGCTGAACCTCAAACTTTATGAGGAACGCCTTAACTTAATGGATCTCTGGTTATTCGAGTAAGGGGAACTTAGAGGCGATTTTCTGACAACCTACAGCATTTTAAGAGTTTAATCTTCATGAGTAGTCAAGACTTGGAATTCCCTGACAACCGGGGTGGTTAAGAAACTTTCTAAGAGTCCTTCAAAGGAAAACATTCCATATTACTAAAGAGTTCGGACAGTATATCACACAAAATTGCAAACACTTCTCTTCTGCTTGTTTTATACAACTAAGTCCCTACTTCGAAGCATCGATTACATACTATTAGACATAAAGGCTCTTTAAGCAAATGCTCCTTCTATTCCGTCTATAACAATTTGAACTTGATAATTACTTGTCGTTATATTATTTTCATCCCTAAATCAGTCAGTTGCAACGTAGGACCAGGCACGTACATGCATCGGTTCAATTTGCCTAACTTCATTAGCACAACAAGATGAACACAAAATTCATAGTAGTCACTTCAATGGCAGTAATACATAAAAGAAGGATTGTATAGAAGAATATAATACAATAAGAAAGAATTAGTTCGTAGAAATAAAGCAATTTTAATCTCATGGTTTAAGGGCAGACAAAGAATGTATACACCGACACCATTATTATCGATTATGAGCTATGTCACTCAGTCTCCAACCATAGATTACAATACCAACTTTACTAAGCTACATACCATTTTAAAACAGATAAGATGGTGAAAGTAAACTCTAGGGAAAGGTTCTTATTTCATTTAATTTGTTCAAATCTAGGTCAGTGATTTTGTACCTGGCCTCTTAATTCCTTGTACGTCTAATGGCTCCATCGTTACGGATAAGTTTAATGAATGATTGAAGATATTAGTAGTATATTCATAGTATCTTACCAGATAACTCTAAAGGAGTTCAGGTAAAAAAAGCTGGTTAAAATAGGCAAGAGGACTGAGGACAATGTTGAACCCCAACCATGCAGACTCCTTAAGGTAATCCTAGGATCGGAGAAGCAACGGGATCTCCTGTTAAGTAGCGCTCGTTGTCACGACAATTCCGACATCCGAGTTAGACCTGATATGTCTCTCGAAGATAGGATAAAAAGGAAGAGAGCACTAGCTGAACTAGAAACCGGTCGGCAAAACGGTGAGGAAAATCTCCGGTTAGTGGGTTTTCGGATAGTCAGGTCTTGGAAGCGAATGCTATCAAGGCCTGTGTGGATAGGCCGTTCTACTTAGAAGTTTTATATACCAACGCTCGTAGTCTAAAAAATGAGCTAGAAACATCAATGCACAGATTAAAGCCACTCATTGTAGCAGTGACAGAAACTTGGTTAGTTCATGACTAAGACACTACTCCAGAATTATCTGGATACCATTACTTCAGGAGTGATAGACATAGATGTAGAAAACGAGGTGGCGCCCTGTCATATATACCTAATAGTATAAATATTCGCTCCTCTGCTAGCGAATCCCACGGTAGCGGTACTTGTGAAGTCATTAACTGTAAATTGGCTATCAGATGTAGTACATTTATGCTCGGTGTCATCTATTGCAGCCCGATCTGCTTAGCTGATGACTTTATTTTAGAGCACATTCATCTTTGGAGTGCAAATACCAGATGCTTGACAATATTAGTTGGACTGAGATGACTACGGAATGATCTATAAACTTCTTTGATAGTAGGTTCCTGATAACAATAATGGAGCATGCACTAGTGCAGCATGTATCCAAACCCACACGTTTTGGTGTTAACCAAGGTTCTTCTCTGTTGGACTTGGTAATCACTCATGATACTAAGGATATTGTCGACCTAAATATTCTACCACCGTTAGTGAACAGCGATCACGCTGTTTTGTCATTCACGTTTAGAACTAGGGACATGTTATACGATCAGGTTACACCCCACCCAAATTTATGGAAGGCTAACATATCAGCCATTCAGGAATGCACTGCTAAGACAGATTGGTTTGTAGATACTAGCTTATCAGTTGAAGGAGCATGGTCTGTATTTAAAGGTAAGTTTAGTTTAATTACGTCCTCGTTCATACCATACCTGGTTTTATTTATTTATTTATTTGAACACATAAATATTGGTACAAGAGGACACCAAATATATATGCGCCACACATGTGCGGGCTGTGATATCTGTTATAAACTATGTTGAAGGGCATAATCTTTTCTCCAGGGAACAACATGGTTTTCGGAAAGACCTATCATGCTTGACAAATCTCATTGCAAGAGAAGATTGAGCTGCTGCAAAAGATCGAGATATTCCTGTGCATGTAATTTTCATAAATCTAAGTAAGGCCTTCGATAAGGTCTCCCACTCGCCTTATCCCACGGATATCCGTCTCCGGCGGTAAGGTCTCAATAAGTACGGAGCTAACACAAAAATTACCCATAAAAAGGTCTTGTGTGACCGACCTATAGCAGGTGTCCTTTGGACACTGCGGTCACGCCCTCAGGTCACTAAGACCAACTCTAATATAGTTTCTTATTCAGGTACCTCCAGAACAACCCTTCCACGGTGTGGGCAACCGGGAAGTGACAACCGCCCTCATACCTCTAACAGCACTCAAGACCATTGTATTCATAACCAACCTCCGTCTTCATTTCCTATTACTCCTTCTACATCGACTTTCACCTCTAAACTTCCTTTTTCGGCTTCCCCCTCAAGTGTCATCATAGCCAACGATTCTAGTGCGCAAAACACTATCCCATTTCTACTGAAACCTCTCTCCAAACTACACATTGAAGCCTTCAACGTACGCACCCTATGTCAAATCGGTCAACAGGCTTCCTTGGCTAGAACCCTAGAATCTCGTACCATTGATGTATGCTGTGTCTCTGAAACACGCATACAGGGTCCCAGTGTGGTCATTCACTCAACCTCACATTGGCAAAACGGAGAGCCAACGAGATACACTCTCCATCTATCTGGTGACCCAATGACCAGCTCTCGTGGACTGGCAGGAGTAGGGATAGCACTAAGCATGAGGGCTGAACAAGCACTGTTAGAGTGGATCCCCGTCAACAGTCGTCTATGTGCTGTCCGGCTAAATGGCTCCGTAAGAACTCGGAAGGATAGGGACACACGTCGTTGCCTTTTTGTCGTTTCTGCCTACGCTCTCACCGACTGCAGCTCAGATGAAATGAAAGATGAATTTTACAGAAAGCTATCTGAACTTCTTCAGAAAGCTAAACGTTCAAACATAGTACTCGTTGGGGGTGACTTTAATGCTCAGATAGGTAGTTTAAACCAAACAGAAAGGCATTTAATTGGATATTTTAGTATTCCGCCACAGCTAACAGATAATGGTGATCGTCTGCTGCAACTATACTCAGACAATCGTTTATTTTTAGCAAACACAAATTTTAAGCATAAGGAGAGACATCGTCTAACATGGCGACCCCCTACACCAAACCAACGATGGACTCAAATAGACCATATTGCAATCAGTCATCGTTGGAGAGGGTCGGTACAAGATTGTCTCTCATTCTGGAGTACCTGGTTGGACTCCGACCACGCCCTTATACGGGCACGCATCTGCTTGCGCCTCACTGGACGCAAAAAAAGCCACATTAAAAAGACCCATTAGAACTGAGTTGAGTAACGAGAAAACCAAAAGTAAGTTCTAGGAACAACTGAGGTCACACTTAGGTAGTTTTCAAAACGAGGCTGACCCAGATGTTGCTTGGAAAGATATAAAAACAGCTGTGGAAACAGCAATGAAATCTATTAGTGACTTAACCCACAGAGTTACAAAGAACCAGTGGATTTCTTCAAAGTCTATCACACTGATGGATTCTCGCAAACTCGTCCCACCAGGTTCTGAACATGATGAAGAGCGACAACAAGTCAGATCTAAGTTAAGAAAAAGTCTAAGGAACGACCGTGAGCAGTGGTGGGCAGCGAAAGCAAAAGAGATGTAAAAGGAGGCGGCTATAGGGAACACAAGACAGCTTTGCAGACTAATAAAAGAAACTGGAATTAATAAGTCAAGTGTGAGATTATTTCGGAAAAGGACGATACTCTCATCTACTCCCAGTCCAGACGTTTAGAACGATGGGAGGAACATTTTAGAGAACAGTTCAACTGGCCTTCAGTTACTCTACAACTACCGTCCATTCCCAGACAATGTGAATGGAACATTGAAGTAGGTCCCCCAAATCTTGCTGAAGTTGAGAAGGCTATAGTTAATCTTAGACGAGGAAGGGCAGCTGGTCCAGATGGATTGGCTCCAGAAGTCTTTAAGGATGGTGATCCAATTTTAACGGTTAGGTTGAATAATATTTTAGCTAAGATCTCGGAGTCAGATGTTATTCCATCTGACTGGTCGCAATCACTTATCGTCCCAATATATAAGAAAGGATCAAAATCATCTTGTGACAACCACAGAGGGATTAGTTTAACAAATATAGTATCTAAAATACTAGCCTCAATAATAATCAGACGCCTAACTAAGACTCGTGAACTGCAAACACGAGAAAACCAAGCTGGCTTCAGACCTGGTCGTGGCTGCATCGACCACATATTCACCATTCGTCAGGTTCTAGAACATAGGCATACTTATCAGCGTCCGACAATGGTGGTCTTTCTTGACTTAAAAGCAGCATTTGACTCGGTAGACCGCGAGATTTTGTGGCAGTGTCTGTCATTGAAAGGCGTACCTCAGAAGTACATAAACCTTGTGAAGGCTTTTAACTCGAACACTACTAGTCGAGTCAGAGCTTATGGTGAACTGTCATTAGCTTTTGCAACCTCAAGTGGTGTCCGTCAAGGCTGTCCGCTTTCTCCATTTTTGTTTAACTTCATCATAGACCTACTGATGGAAATAACATTCTCGTCGACTTAATTCTCGGGTGTGTGGCGCATATATATTGGCGCTCTCTTGTACCAATATTTATGTGTTCAAATAAATAAATAATGAATTCTCGGGTATTGATCTCCTTCCAGGAGGTTCACCTATCGACTTAGAATACGGAGATGATATAGTCCTGTTCGGTGAAGACGCTGATAAAATGCAGTCTTTTGGTAGCACTAAGCAACAATGCCAGAATGTTTGGAATGCGCTTCTCTCCCTCTAAATGCAAGTTGTTGCTTCAGGATTGGTCTGCGTCAACACCTGAACTAAGGATAGGGAGTGAAGTAGTTGAACGCGTTGACAACTTCACTTATCTTGGAAGTTTGATCAGCCCTAATGAGTTGGTATCGGACGAAATCTCAGCACGGATTCGAAAAGCTCGTTTGGCTTTTGCCAACTTACGTCACTTATGGAGAAGGCGAGATATCCGTCTATCAATAAAAGGACGAGTATACTGCGAGGCAATCCATTGTGTTTTAATTTACGGAAGCGAAACATGGCCATTTACAGTAGAAGACACTCGTAAGCTACTAGTATTTGACCACAGATGCCTTAGAAATATTGGTGGCGTCTGCTGGGATCACTGGGTAAGTAATAGTGAGGTTACACGCAGGGTATTAGGTAATGATGGTAAATCAGTTGATGAGGTTGTTAATCTTCATCGACTGAGATGGTTGGGCCACGTGTTACGTATGCCTGAACACCGATTACCACGACGTGCAATGATAACCGGTGTTGGAGATGGTTGGAAGAAAGTTAGGGGAGGCCAAACAAAAACGTGGCACCAGTGCCTGAAGTCACTAACTTCTAGTCTGAGCCATGTTGGTAGATGCAGACTACTTGGTTGGGGTTCACGTGACTATGGTAACCAATGGTTGGAGACTTTGTGAAGTGGCTCAGAATCGATCACAAATGCGTCGGTGTATACACTCTCTGTCTTCCCCTAAACTAAGAGATTAAAATCGCTTCATATCTTTCTTTCTACAAACTAATTCTTTCTTCCTGTACTATATCCTTATTGCAATCTTTCTTTTATATATTACCACCTCTGAATTAACTACTTTTATGAATCCGGTGTCCATCTTGTTGTGTTATTGAGGTATGGCAACTTGGACCGATGCATGTGCTTGGCCATACGTTGTAGCTGACTGACCGACTGGAACGTTTTGGAATCCATTATACAGTCGTGGATTGGATAAGTAACTTTCTCCATGACAAGAGACAAAGGGTAACGGTTAATGGGGCTCTCCTCGTGGGTACCTGTAAAACGTGGGGTTCCCCAAGGTACAATCCTCGGTCCTCTTCTTTTTTAACCTTATGTAAATGAATTACCAACTGTAGCAAAATCATCCTTTCTACTCTTCGCTGATGACATAAAAATTTAGAGACCCATACACAGTATGTCATATAGGATAGTATTACAGAATGATCTTAGCTCATTGGTGGTATGGTTGGACAGGTGGTCACTAGAAGTAAATCCTAATAAGTGTATTACTGAGATCAAATAACTTTGATGAATCGTATCACTATACAATATGTGGATTCGTGCTACCCAAGGTAAGAAACTATAAAGATTTAGGAGTCATATTAAACAGTAATTTTAAAACCACTAGTCACTGTAAGGCTGCTGCTGAGAAAGGCTATAGGGTATTATGATCTATTCGTGAGTCTTTCCAGTACTTAGATGATGAAATGTTTAGATTACTATACCCAAATGCCGGAACGTCATTTAGCCAAATGGATGAGTGGATTTCGCGCTAAAATCCGAGACCTGTTATCTTATACCTGATTATAGTCTCACCCATAATGTAACATTACTGAGAACTGTATCTTACAATATAACTATAGACCAGTGGCTCGGAGAGTAGGCTTTAAATCATTATAATGAACTGCATAAACAGGTAGATATGTACTAATTCCTAATAATACCGTTTCACACAACTTTGAAAATTAGGTAACCGGTTTGAAGCATAAGAAAAGGCTTCATGCACTCATAATTGAACTCTCAAACTTAAGTAAAATATAACAGTTGAAATGACTATATATATTAAGTTTAACTGTGTTTGTAACTTTGACTATAGTCTAAGTTA